CCCTCCCCCAAATTTCTGGAATGTCCATTGCTAAGAGGTAGTTTATTTATAAGTTACTCCATCTTTTTGTCAGATCACAACTACTTTCTGATTCCTAGTTCAGCTGGTAAGATTCATAGAACTCATAGAAATTCAGTCATTTCTGGAAAATTGCTTTCCTCTACAAGAGACAAGAAAAGAGTTGCTGGTGGTCAAAAACAGGATTCAAAGATGTGGTTTCTCATTTACAAGGATTTCAAGTCTGAGGTTATGCAAGGCATTTTATTCCTGTTTGCTTCTTTCTCATAGGACATAAAACAAAATGGGTGTAAAATGTTAATCTTGTGGGTCCTCAGCTTCGTTGAAGCTTCTGTTTATGACTGCTAAAAAATGCTTTTAGATATATAATACTAAATAATAATATTGAGAAAAAGTTCATTTCTCTTACAAAGTTACAAATCTAAGCAAAATACCCTGTACTTGTGAGTTTCTCGAAACTATCATGCCCTCTCTTTTCATTTAATAAAAAGATATTTTTTACAACAGACTGGTGGCTCTGTCTAAAGTGATGAGATAATTTCTAGCAAATCTGCTTCTAAGATAATTAGCAGCAAATCTGCTTCTAAGAGATGTTTGGAGTTCTCTACCCTGTGGTGGTATTTTCCAGGTCCCAAACGCTTTCCTGCTAGGATGCTTTTTTAGCATCCCCAAGGGAGGTAAGGATTTCCCTGAACAAAAATTACCTGAGGCATAYTTATTATAAAGCACTAAATTACCATTTCTGTATACAAGAAAACAAAAATGGATCTTGAGCATGGATCTAGACCATAAAACAACAATTTGTACTTATAATAAACAAAATTTAATATAATAATAAATACAACAATAAAACAACATTTGTATTTAATGTGTAGATCCCATAAAATATTTATAAATGGTTCAGTATAAATGGATCCGTGACCATGTAATGATGAATTCCTTTTTAAATTCAGTGACTAATTCTCTCCTTAGTTATCTCAATGACCTGGATAGGTTAGCAATGCCTGACTATGTGCCCAGTGAGCAAGATGTTTTGCACTCCCGGGTGAAGACAACTGGGATTATAGAGACTCGTTTTTCCTTCAAGGATTTGAACTTCAGGTATGAAAACCATATTTAACAGTGTTTACTCCATTCTTAGTTTTTTAAAATATTTTCTTTTCGATTGGGTTGACCTATTATAATATTGCTAGTCCATGACTCTTATTCAGCAGTTTATACTAACCCCCTCAAAAAAAGAGATTTGAATATTAGTATTCTAACTTTATGTATATAATGCACTGTTATTAGGAGATCTTAAAATATCAGGCTCTAAAAGGATGTTTTTACATTTCTAAGTGTCTGAAAAGCATAATTTGTGTTCTGCCATTTGAATAATTATTTGCAGCATTTATGAAATGTGCCTACCTAATGCCCTTAACAGCATGCAAAACATTTGATGACTAATGATTTGCATGTACTCTCAACCTTTCACTCACTTGAGAAAGAAAGGAACTGCTCTTAACACTGGAATTCATTACAGTTGTCAAAAATCATAAATTTTGTCCCATGAAAAATTTCACTATTGCCTTGCATGCCTTCATCCTCATTTAAAATGTAAAGCAAAATATATACCAAAAAAAAATGTATCTGAGGAATTTGATTTAAGATAGCTGACACCTTCAAATACTCAAGATTTTGTTAGTTTTGGTAACCCAATTAGAAACATTTAATTCCACATTAAACTGTATTTTAGTGAACTAAGTTGCAGTGTCTTTTAATTTTGTTTCTACTTTCCACTTAATTTTTTATATAAAGGTTGCAATACATTCTGAGGAAAGTATTCTAGACATGAAACAGTCCATAGAGTTAGATGTACATATGAGGCACAAGGACTACACCTTTGCATTTACTTTCAGTGTTTTTTTCCCCATATTTAGTAATTAAACACCCCACAAGCTATCTATCATATTAAATAAATGGTCTGAAACAACTGAGATGATTACTTTCAAAAAGAGATTCTGAATTAGAGGACCAAAAAATAAATAATTATCGTCTATAAATATACTGATCACTCATGAAAACTCAACATTTATCCATAAATACTATGTTGCAACATCATAGGATGCCATGCTTTTTTCTCCAGTTCTCCAACCTAAATCCTACCAGTCTTAATATTAGAGTTAGTGCCTCGGCCCAAATGAAATGCAGCACAGATGAGAATTCACCAATTAAATTCAAATGTCTGTAGACAACATTATCACACTGAAAAGCATTGTRTTTGTCCTGCTATGCATTATAGTGGTTTATATGAGTAAATTCATTGGTGTCTTTATGCACTTAGGTCATGCTAGATGAAATCACTCTGAGGGTTTTGTACTGCCATGGGGGATGCACAGCCAGCATAAATCCATCTTATGGATATGGATACCCAGCAAATTACTGCTACTCTGTACAACACACAGCACATTATAGAAAATCACTATGCACTCAAGCAAACACAAAAAGTAGGAGTATAACTAGCTGCATAATATGTAAGACCAATTAGGACATAAATTTGGTTTCTTAGGTGTTCTTTCTCCCTTCTAATACAGTTGGAAAATATTCAGGTTTTGCTAATTTTATATCAGAAGCATAGAGAGAAGAAAGCTCTATCCCTTATCACTAAAGAGACAAAGATAAGAGGGAGTTTTAAGGGCCAGTGCTAAGGACAACAGTAGTTTTGACAACAGCTCTGCACGGCCGCAGTCTCTGTGTTACATTGATGGTCTATCTAGGCATGCTCAGTTTGTTTTGGACCCCATATAGAAATACATGTGACTTTAGCCAGAGGTGATAACTTCTGGCAAAGACTGAAGTAAATTAATGAAGAGGAGAGCAGCCCTGCATTTTCTTCTCTACAGGTGAATGGATTCCTGCTCCCCATGAAGTGTTTGCACAGCTGATGCTAAATGAATTGATAGGGCAGAGACTCACACACACAAACAGAGGCTGCAGATTATACAGCTATCCAAGCAATTACACAAGGACACTGAGCAGATAACTAAACATTTATCCATGCCAGCCAATTAAATATAGCTAGTGTGTTAACCTGTAACTGGATTCCAATTATATGTCATATGGATCAACATGTCAGCCCAAAAACATTATTAACAAACACATGGTTAAGGAGTTGAGGGGTCTGTTGACAATATTTCATGTGTGAACTCTGTCCTGAAGCATCCTCGCCCACAGGGTCTAGACCCACCCATAGGGTCTAGTCTGCACTAGCTCAGTCTGCCCTGAGCTTTTGCACAGAGCCCCAGTCCTCAACAGGGGTGTAGCCTGCCATGCATTGACCTGCTGGGATGGAAGCAGACAGGTATTTAGGAAAGCTGGATACTTCAGTGCCATTCCAGCTGCCCTCTGCACATTGACTGCGTGATTAGACACTTATTAGTGCTTTACATTTTACATGTTATTTTTCCTGCAAAGGATGTTTGACGTGGGTGGACAGCGATCAGAGAGAAAGAAGTGGATTCACTGCTTTGAGGGAGTTACTTGCATCATATTCTGTGCTGCACTCAGTGCCTATGACATGGTTCTAGTGGAAGATAAAGAAGTGGTGAGTCAGGATGGATAAACAACCCTTTTTTCTACTACCTTTTAATGTACYGTCTGATGGCATATCAGACCTATTCCTGATCCCTGACAGCAATTTAAAGGCTATTAAACTGTATTGGTTCTTGCTAGAAAAGAACATTACAGTAAAAAATGACATATGAGGACGAGGTTTGTCAGAGTCGCTCACCTTTTGCATCTCCACAGAACAGAATGCATGAAAGCCTTCAGCTGTTCAACAGCATCTGCAACCACAAGTGCTTTGCAACCACTTCCATTGTGCTGTTTCTMAACAAAAAAGACCTCTTCCAAGAGAAAATAACAAAAGTTCATCTCAATATCTGCTTTCCTGAGTACAATGGTAGGTTTGGGGTTTTCAGAGGAAAATGCATTCAAACAATTCGTGTCAGCCATGCAGTAAGGGCGGCGACTTTGACTCGGTTTTTTGTGTTTTTTTCCTGACTTTCTGGTCTCTCTGTCTCTAATGTGCTTAACTATTTGACACAATTTTACTCAATTGTGAGCATTTCACTTCAAAAATGAGGCCTTCTGTTTAGGAACCGAAATTTAAATTTGGGTGAGCAGTTTATACAAAAAATTCTCATGCCTAAGTTCTAATGCTAACATCTTTAAAAAAACTCCTGTTTTTTAGTAGCAGTGAGAAAATACAAGTCGAAAAGCTTCTTATCTGTCTCCTACTACTATCTTCAATAGGACTAAACACATTTGAAGATGCGGGAAATTACATCAAGAAGCAGTTCCTAGACTTGAACATAAGGAAAGAAGACAAGGAGATATATGCTCACTTGACATGTGCCACAGACACGCAGAATGTCAGGTTTGTTTTTGATGCAGTCACAGACATCATAATCAAAGAAAATCTCAAAGACTGTGGGCTTTTCTAGCCATTCCCTCCCATGCTCCCAGCATGACTTCATCTCTGTCCACTTCCTTTCATCCTGCTATCCRAAGTAAAATGGGAGGAAAAAAAACAATATTAATTGGGCTCTAGTTAACTGTCAATTAAAGCTTTGGGCTTTAGTTAGCTTTGTGAATTGAAGCCTGAGTAATGCAGAACAATAATGGCTTTCTATAYAGCATAAGAAGGTTAAAAAAAAAAGTTCCTGCTCTACAGAAACACTAGGCACTAATAATTTCTACTGGAATAAAAGAGAATATCTCATTGAAATCTATCAACATGAAGGTAAACAGCTCTTCTTAGGAAGCTGGGGATGACTCTGTACCAGTTTTTCAGTGTGAGGATGGGAGCATATAAAAGAGATTAGGTAATGGACATTTATTTGCATTTAAAGTTTTAAGAAAGCCATTAAATTAAAAAAAAAAAAACTTTCACTAGGCAATTTTAGCYTATTACTTTTGTGTTTGCATGCTAAATTCACAACTGAAAATGACATTACATCAATTTGCAAAGAAAAATCCTCAGATTTAACCAGTTTACGATGAAAAGCAGTGCAAAGCTGTGCCTTTTATTATACTGATTGATAGAAGAGCTGAGGGATACATGTACATAAACTGAATATGCATAAAATTCAGTAGAGTTGCTGTCTTATTTGCAAAAAAAAAAAAAAAAAAAAAAAGAACTAGTAAAACGTAGGCAGATGGCAGGCAATTTTTTTGAAATATCCCTGAGGGAGAAAAGAAAATATATAGCAACTATCAATTCCTGCACATGCCATAAGGCATACTATAAACATTTTTTTAAAAATAAAATAATTAATAGTTTCATTGCCACAAAGCTTCTCTGGTGCTTTGTGATTGAAAKTTTCATTTTCACTAGCATAACACATGCCCCTACCAATACCAGGGGCAAAAACACATTCGTGAGGTTCTGGTACAGAAACCTATTTTCTATACCAAGAGAACCATTCCAGTTTTACTCTGTTTGATACACCTATAGCTTTGAAAAATATTTAACTATTTTAAAGTAATAGTAAACTATTTTAAAAGTAATGGGGGTTACTAAAAATATTGTACTGATTCTTGAAGTTTGGCCTCAAAGCGTGCCTCATTTTAAAAATCCGAACAATGATAACATAAGGTGCTTTTTAATTACACTTGAACCTAATTTTCACCATGCATCAAATATTCTGGTCAAGTTAATTATAATAAGGAACTTTGTCTATTACTGACTAGYAGAATCCTGGAAGCTCTCCACAAAGCAAAGACATTGGCCTGTGTTGGGCTGATGCTGAACACTGTAATCAGCACAAATCCTAAGGTAAAGCCTCACTTGGAAGCCTATAAAACCACAATCTTGGACAATGCACCCTAAGATTTTACTGAACTTTAAGACTTGTCATTACTGCATCAAACTTGTCACTACTGCCTCCTGGTGTGCTTCAGCAGCTTTCCTGCCCATCAGCTGTTTAACCAGCATTTTTGATCCAGTRGATGGGATTTCCAGCAATGAGGATGACTTCAATGGTGTGAAGACATGGTAGGCCCAAGGTGGACACAAGGGTCTGGAATATCAATCATGGTTGAAACTGAACTAAGAAAATAAATGCACAAAACTGTCGCCTCATACAAAGAACACATTTGACCGTAAACAAATTGATACTGGAATGCATGCAGATCCCTGTTAAGATGAAACAGTATATGAAAGGGAGAAAACACAGAAAAATATGAGAGTTTAAGTATAGTCAGATCAACTTAATAGGAAGCACTGCTAGGCTTTAGGTCACGGAATAGCAGTTTGATTGACACCTGCCAGACTAAAGGCCAATCTCTCTTTGCTTCATTTTGAAAAACATATGTATAAAGCCGTAGCTAGATCTGTGCAGGGAGCAGTCCTGAGCCAGAAAGATGACCAAAACCAATTTCTACTGCTAAGATTTCTGTTACTGCCTAATCTGTAATGCTTCACTTGATTTATTCATTGTTTGTTTTGAAAACAATAAATTTCCAGTGTAAGGCTTTTGGATTCTCTGCCTGCAATAAATCTCATTTAAAATCAACAACTTCAACTGTGATGGCGTCAACATTCATTTCAGATGGCTTGATGGCACAACAAAAGCCAAGATGTTAAAAAAATAATCAATCCAGGAACAAACACATCTCATTGTTTTATTTTTTATTTATTTATTTATTTATTYTTTGCCTTAACCCACTTYAGGCAAAAGGCTAAGAAATTGGATGGACTTTACACGCCAGCCAGGAAGCAAGTTAATAAATATAAAACTGTACAGGATGTATTTTTTTCTTGCTTTTTGTTTTAAGAAGTTATGCTGGCCACTGGTAGAATCAAAATTCCTAGTCACTGGGTTACTGGCTTGATGGTTTGATTTACCTGTTTTGTTGTTGTTGTTGTT